AAAAAAAATTATATAGAATTCATGTAGCTTTTGTGGCCTTCATTTGGGGGCATTTTAACAAACTTTTTGAAGCGAAATTAAATAGACCAAACTATTGGCTTTCTCTGTTTACAGCCTAAAAGTTGGAGGGTATGGACCTATTTTACAGCAAAATCTCCACTAAGCTGCGCAATTTTCAGTAGCAGCTGTTTATTACGTGAACTCTGTTAAAAGTTTATTCCCTTATTGTTAACGTAAACCGATTAAAGAAAAACGCCGATTTTTTTTAAGTGATCGATCGATTCTTCGAATTTGGCACTGAATAATATAATTAAGTAAATACATGTATTAAAAAGTATCTCTGTAACTTATTTTAAAATGATAGTATGTGGTTGGCTTCTGATTATCCTACGCTTTTAGAGCGTAATATAATAAAATAGGGTTTCCAAGACATTTGAACGTACATTGTTTCTATCATGGAAGCGACGAGGAGTTTGCCAGAGGAAATGAAGAAGCGTTGAGACACCTCTCAGCAACTTAAAACATTCCAATGTGTTCCCGCTTCCGTCCAACTGTTTGCATAATAGGACAAAGAGGAGAAGCAGTTCATCTACCGGCATTCTCGTACGGTCTTTGAGCTCCTGGATGAGGATCGCAGCCAGAGCATTTCGGCCGAGGAGTTCTCCGCTTTCGGGTTCCTCTTCAATTTTCAGGGGGCCGCCGTCAGCCAGATCTTCAAGGACTTTGACATCTCGGGAGACGAGGTATGAATGTCAATCCCTTGACATAATACACTCCGATTTCAAGAGTGTAAGACTAAACTTCTATCTTTTGTTACTGAAACTAGGGGCACTGGTGATTTGGTGTGAAAAGGTTACCCCGTTACGAGGCTGTGTACAAATCAATCGTCTGACATGTTAATACTGAGCCATTGTGAAAGACGTGAATATGAAAAAAGACACTGATGCCTACTTTTCTCGATCGACGTCTTTCCAGGAGCTTGACTACAAAGAGTTCAAGATGTTTGCAATGGCCTGCATCGACAGGCAGAACGAGATCGACCGCGAGAAACGGGAAAAACTGGAGCGCCGCCGACGGCAGACAGAAGAGAGAGCGAGGCGGAAACTGGCAAGGTTGGAGCGCGGGGATCGGGGTGTCTTGGGCGGGGTGATTCCGTCTTGCTATTCCTGCGCTTTGCAATGAAGCAAGGCTCGAGTAAGTGCCAAGTCTGGCTTTCTGTATCACCCACAGGGCACTTGGCGATTGACACACGCAGGTATGAAGGGGTATCAGGGAAGCTATAGGGCCCTTACGGTTCCCTGGATCTCCTCCAGACCAGATGTTTTCATCGCAAAGCTGTATCAATCCTAGGAATTTTTAAACTGACTCAATGAGCCGGGGTTAGTGTTGTGTATATATATAGACACACTTTGTAAATTTCTTTATTAAAATACTGTGAAATCTTTGATCGTATACACTGATATATAATCGCTTCTGACATACGATGAACAAACAATAATTTCATTGCTAGTAAATATAAATGGTCCTTGTCCACTTAGAGCAGCTTTAGAACAAAAGCTTTTTGGGGGAGTTGTTCTGGTGGGGGGGTAAAAAAATTGGAATTTTCTTAGTTTAACCTTTATTGCTTTTCTGAGGGATGAAGCAAGATTTGTGAGTAATCTTTCCTACTTTCACGAAGGTAAATAAAAGAGCCCCCCTCAAAAATGCCTTCTGTAATTTTTCACGGCCGATTTTTTTTTTTTGGGGGGGGGCAATGGGAGGCTCATTGGCCCTCCGCTATCATCCTCTGCTTACACAGACAGGTGCATCAATTATTACAGGTCTTCATTTAAACTTTGAAATATCCAGTGGCATAATTAAAAGAGAGCCATCGCATGTACCCGCAGAAATTTCCGAGGGAGCACCTGTGGTAGCTCTCTTTTTGTTTTATTTAAGGGGGTGCAAAGGGTTGCATACATTTCTAACTTTCAAATGGGGCAGCACCCAAGGTGCAAGGATGTCCGCATGTGATCCACCCACCTCCCCACCCTTAGCCAATGGGCATATTCAACAAGAATCCATGTACTTTACAGTTCCTCTAGGTGTTACATTATAAATCGGTTGGTAGAAGGCAACCCTGCAGGAAAAGCCTTAAATAATTTGTTACATTACCAAGCTTTCGGGACATGCAAATTCAAGGAATCCTGACAATATTAATTACATATCTCTCCCCCCAAGCACAACCACATGCGTTTTCCCCTAAACTACAGGAGGATTACGTCCCCCATCCCCTCCACCATGAAGACAGGGCAGTCCTTACTCCTGATCAGCTCGGCAGAATCGCCAAGGGCAGACTCCACATTACAATTAACAAGGCTGCCCTTCACAACGTCTGCTTTTATCATTTTAATGATGGGCGATCAAAGAAAAAAACCTCATCGTTTGATAATATGAAAAGCACAACAAATGAATTCAATCAATTCACAGTCGTTCCTTGAAGCTTTGCCTGATTGAAGCTGCACCTGAGGATGACGCCAGTCATTAACTGACAGGAGGCAATCTTACAAGAAAACCCTCGTTCATTTATGCTTCCAAGCTTCCCATATGACGCAAATCAAAGAACTGCTAAAAATGTTAATTGCATACTCTTTCCAAATAAATACTGAAAGATTCCCCCCACCACTACTAGGAAGACATAACAATCCCTATATCCTCTCCTCTGCTATACAAACTTGCCAGGGACAGCCTCTTCCATTCCAATTAACAAGACTGTCCATCATGTTTGTATCATTCTAATGACGGACCATCATAGAAGAAACTTCACCATAAGATACTGTGGAACTTCTCCTTGACACACGTCAAATGACTTCCTGAGTGAGTGTTGTTTAGAGTGTTGCATACACACAGAGAGGGTGCTCTTTGCGGGTACATCATGGAAGCGATCTCTTGACAAAGAAGGGTGGGCTCTGAAGGTCGTGACATTTCACACGATGCACTCCGTTTATCAGAAGGGAACTGAACTCAAGACTGATCTCTCTGCAGAACCAACACTGCCTCCTTGGAGTTTGCTTCCATGGTGTACATTAACCCCCCCCCAGGCCTCTCCCCCTCAGAAATTAGAGAAGGAAAAAAAATCTGCTTTGGTTGCTATTTTCAATTCTGACAAAATCCATTGAGTGCCCACCTCCAGAAAATAAGGGCTCCAAAGCGCCCCCCCCATATAATGTACCACATTTCTGCCACTGGTACCTGCCAACAGTATGTCTGTATGGAAAAACAAAAATCCAATCTCCTCAACAAATTACAATCAGGGACCACTTTCTACCAAAAAATTCAGTAATCAGACAAACAAGAGTCCAAAACATTTCAGAGTAAGCTGGGAAAGGTTTCAACTATCACTCCATCATGCAGCTCGATTGAAGTATTTCACATACACCTCGTCAAGTTTATGCTTAGACCTACTGATATCATGAAGCAAAAATTGAAGAAATTCTGAGGTCAAACCCACTGGCAATGATATGTCACAAGTACAAATTTGTTTCATTTCTGCAGCTATCACCATAGCCTGTCCAAATCAGATCTGCACAAATTTTGACATACATGTACATGGATTTACTGCTGAAATGCTGAAAATCGCTTAACCCAAGCAAAAAGAGGCAGTTTTGCTTGAACATTTCATCAGAAATTACATTTTTAAAAACAAAAATGAAACGTACATGAGGCACACTGGCAGAGGGAATGAATTTGGAAGGGTTTTCAGGTATTGTAAAATTCATGTGCAGCATTTGTCAAAGTGGCCTGGGTTTCATTCTTTGGCTATCTACAAGCAAAATGTGGCCAATGAAAGCGATGTTTTACTACAGTGTTGGGAACTTGAGACCAGGCCATCACCCACCTGTGTCCGAGAAGGCAGCAAGGAATGCAAACGGTCTAGGGTTGCCACTGAAGCCTACCAGCCAGCCCTCACAGGAACCCATTCCTGGTGAATAGCTCTCGCAGCCTCACCTTCTGGGCCTCGGTGAGCGGCAGCAGCGGGGCACGGACTGGTCCCCCGTAGAGGCCAAACCACTCCATGGCAGTTTTCAGACCCGGCACACCAAAGCCTTTGGTCACCTGTGCAAGTTAACGAAAAAAAAAAAAAGGCTGGCATTTTTACTTCAAGAACACTGCACTGAGCCTACAGTGCTTTGCTAGCCTAGCTACCCTACACTGTGTCCCCTTCACGGCAGTCACAAGTACAACTACATGTACATGCCAATTACAAGTCATCCAGGCATGTGTCAAAAGCTATTCAAATGACCTGTGACAAAGGAATTGTTCATCCCGTTTACTTCAACACCTGTGACCCACAACTTGTGACACAACTCGTGATTAGATTTGCAATCAACTTCTCACCAAGATTTGTCATCTTCAAACTGCTACTTGCAACCATAACCCTTCGTCCTTGCCCAAATCTCCCAGATACATGTATAAAGGACAAATAGAAAGATACCCGTACCAGGTACGTATGTCCTCAGAAAAACTAGGCGGTTAAATCATGACTTCGTGTGGCTATGTGAAATCACATTGAAATTGAGGATTGATGACTGTTGGGGTTAATCCCACACAACTGTAAGCAGTGTGCATTTCACACCAACTTGCTCATGCATACACACACGGGTGTTTCAAATAACTCTATAAAATAGTGCTATAACTCCCCAGTTTTTCTGGGAACAAGTTTGACCAAACCAGGGCCTGAACCACTGACTCTTTGAATCTACTGAGGTTTTCACAACTAATCCCATGTTGAATGATACTGATCTATCCTTTAAAATTCACCCTCGTGAATCTTTCAAAAAGTCACCAGAAGATATTCAAGGATTTGATAGATTCATGCAAGGAGCAGTCCAGCCATCATTAGACAGGCCGTAATGCCCCAAATCAAGTCTCCTGACAATGGGAAGAACATGCCCTCCTTAACATTGAATACTATGGGTTCCCTAAAAAATTTGAAAAATCTGTCACACTGTGCCACCCCCACAACCCCCCCCAATAAAAAGTATCACTTCATTCCTGCAGGTTGGAGTATTTCCTGTTAGAGTTCTTGGGCTTCACACCGTCATCCAATACAAGTTGACCCTATCAACATTTGTTTCCATCCTACTAACCCCACTATTTGGCTCGATCAATCTGTGCTGCAGTTCCATGGCTTCTTCCATCTTGCCTTCATTGAAAAGCTGTTGTACCTGGCACACTTCACGACCGAGCACATTGGCAAGGGCGCACACTCCACCCACCGCACCTTGGACCAAATGAAGTAACGGGAAGTCTTTCAAAACGCCCCCTGAATTTAGCCACTGGGGAATAATTTGAGGTTTCGGATTGCTGTCAACAAGGAAACTCAGGATAGCCTCCCAACTTCCTGAAATTGTGCAACTGCATCCTGTGCCATGCTCCTCTGTGCCTGATCTCCACTGTGTGTGATTGAGAAAGTTGTTAGCTGGTTCCAGCATATAAGGTTACATCCAAATATCTTCGCTGCGGCTATAAATTACATATGTGCCTATGCAAGCCACCAAGCCGCACTGTCATTCATTTCCTACAGGCTCCTAATGAGCCAGTTCGGTATACCAAAAAGCCAAGACCTTTCGGGAACAAAGCGCACAGGTGATGAGTCACTGTATGGCTGCACTGATGGGAGAGACTATTGTGTAACTGTTCCTGAATAGCCCTGTGCTCGGCGTGCGCTGTGGGAATACCGAACTGGCTCATTTTGTTAATAGAGAGGCCAAGTGCTTTGGACTTGGCCTTGGAATGCGTGCGCGTTCCTTACCACACAAATGGCAAGGTGGACTTGCAGATAAGCAGGTGCACACAATAGTTCAAATTATTACATTCATGCACCTGATGAGATTCACATCGATGCTTCACTTCTGACAGTGAGAACACATAAATCTCCACAGTACTCATTTTAATGAGAAAAACCTGTACAGAGTTAAAGTCTTCTGCCTCTTGCATGATGTGACCTTTGGAAAATTTGGAATGAGTGTGATACAAAAGCTCCAACTAGCTAGTGCCATTCCTCTGGGTGCACAGAGCTAGCCAAGCAGGGGAGAAATGACTTGCCCATGGCCAAACTTATGATCAGCAGCTGGCTGGATTCAAACCCCCGATTAGGAGTCAAGAATCAACCGCTAGGCACCAAACCCCCGATTAGGAGTCAAGAATCAACCGCTAGGCACCAAACCCCCGATTAGGAGTCAAGAATCAACCGCTAGGCACCAAACCCCGATTATGAGTCAAGAATCAACCGCTAGGCACCAAACCCCCGATTAGGAGTCAAGAATCAACCGCTAGGCATCAAACCCCCGATTAGGAGTCAAGAATCAACCGCTAGGCACCATTCCCCTCCAGTGACAGACTGAAGTCTAAGGCATTCTCTTTAAGTGCCCCATTCAACCGATGCGGAGGATAATAACTGTGCAACTTTGGTCAGTATATTAGGACACTTTGCTTACTGAGCCCCCCAAAATAAATCTGCTCTGAGAATTAGTGCATTTCACATGCTCACAAAGAACACTTGGCTCATGGGCACATGCGCATCAACTGAGGCTTCTCTACCGACATGGGCCAGCATGAAATTCCTTAGCACGCTCTATAACCACGGGAGAAAAATCATCGTAGAGCATTCTGCACTTTGCAGAGACATCGCGCAGCAAGGGTCTCACTTTTGGGGTACAGCATACCAAGTGAAAACACACAACAAATGTACGACTCACCGACAGATAATGACTGCAGAAAGAATCCTGCCGATCCTGCAAGCATCTGGAAGTTACTATTTTTGGTACGATGGACAATCAGTCCAATTTTGGTCACCTTAGGCAGAAACAGTAGAAACACAGTACAGAATTATCAGTCTTATGTAATACATGTACCTCAAAATTGGAAATTTGCATTGTATTTATAGTGATGGATATAATTATCCACATTGTATCTATACATTCATATAGAGATTGTTCTATAAAGTCGGGGTCCAAAAGTGTGACATTTTTGTGTCCATGTTAACCACTTCCTGCCGGGGACTCCGGGATCGGAGACGTATGGTTTATATGGGTGGCCGGGG